GTTTTTACAATAAGTTAACAATAAGTTTTAATATTATCTGACAAGTACGGTTTTAAATTTAAATGTGTATGATACTTAAACTCTTATAGTTTTTTCTTAAATTTAGTGTTGCTATTTATTACATTTTTAAAATATTTTCTTTCTGTGATACATAGATACGTTTCTATATCATTTGACTTATTGTTAATTTAGTGAGTATTTCGCAAACTTTAACTGAAAAATAAATGATAAGATGTTTTGGCACATAGACTTTTATGATTTTTAACTTTTCAATTGTAAACCTTTTTTATGAGTTTAATTTAACGTATAGCAATAGTTTTTATACGATCAGTATATATATATATATATATATATATATATGTATATATATATATATATGTATGTATATATATCATTGTAACATGTTAAAATGATTAATGAATAACTTATTGGAGAAGATAGATAGTATTATGTGAGCTGCATGCTATAAAAATTTCTTGTTTTAGATATATCTAGTGCATTCTGTACTTATTATTTTTAGTATTTGGCTAATTTTAAACAGAGTATTATAAACAAAATGGATACAGTTTTAATAAGTAAAAATTAATGGAAAGAGAGTGTTAATGTATTTTGGACCAATGAAAAAATAATGATAGTAAAAAGAAGTCATTCATAGGAGATCAATGACACAAAATTTTGTATTCGATGAAAACCATGATTTGAATTATATTATATTTCAAAAGTCTAGTCAAAACACATCTGTCAGCTCTTGTATTTCGATATAGCAAAATAACAAAATCACGATTTATAATTTGATAGTTTTATACAACACTTTCTATTATTTAAGAAATAATTTATATTTGTTGTTTTTTTCTGATAATTAATGCGCACAAGTTTCACTATGTTGTGTTCAAATATCGACAAAGTATATAAGATGAGATAGAAATGTCAAATGAGAATAAACTGTATTTCTCAATTTTCAAATTCTGTATTAAAAAAGGGTAGTGATTATTCGAAAGGATGAGCATGTTACAAATACAAGGAGAATTAAAGTACATGTTTTTCCATAGTCGCAAGATTTATTCATGTGTCACATATTCGGAAATCGCATCGCTCATGTCCTATTTCGAAAAAATTATTATATGTCGACTGATCTCGATTGTATTAAATAGTGCATTACACATATTTATACACGAATATATAATAATACATTATATATCGTATTTTTATTACAAGTACATTTCCTGACTCTGTAAAAAATATGTCAGAGACTGTATATCTATACTATATATATATAATACATATAATACTATATATATATATATATATAGTATTGGTAATCTGTGTAAAAGGAACATTTAGACAAAATATGGAAAAAAAATCGCAATATCTTTGAAGAAGGTAAATAAAAGAAAAGGGATAGTTGCAATGTTAGATTAATGATGTGATATAACAATAAATACGGTGCGTAAATTACTTTAGAAAATTACTTTAGTATAATGCGACTTATAAAATTATCGATAGGTATTAATTGATCGTTCCTGTATGTTATAACCAGACTTGAAATTCAGCTTTTATTTATCGGCCAATGTCTCGTGCATCAAAAAATACTTCTCGCTCTTTTAATAACAGTTTATTATGGAAATATTTGCTAACGTTCGTATACAATCTTGTATGCGAAATTTTAAAAGTGATATTTCTCTCGAAACTCAAGACTGGCTATAACAATGTTTACTGTATATTCGGTGTAAATATCGCATTATATTTTAAAATTAAACTTACAGTTGTATACATATATAAAAATTATGTGATAATAAAATATAATCATAACAATCATTTATATCTATATATTTATACGGTGTGTAATTAATAAGGAACAATTCTGAGACAATTGACTCTAGACAAACAAAACAATTTATAATTCGGTCACGTAAAAGGCGCTCGATGTTGAAGAAACATGTAATTGACATGCATAATTGTGCCGCCCGTATATTTTTTTAGGCTAATGTATCAAGTGATCTGATTTAATGACGTAGCACGACATACATCGTTATAATCGGGGAATTCTAATGTTCGTAATTATAAATAATTCGCGATATGGCGCGCGACGACGAAACAAGTGCACTTGAATTGCATATAAAAGGTAAATATATACTTCAAAATCAAGAATATAATATGCTACATGGCTTTTAACGTATATTTTTTCAGTAAACGGGCAAAATTTATCAGCGATCACGGAGAAACGTAATATTGGCACATTACGGCAAGCATTTTAAACGTTATACGTAGTATATCGTTTGTGTTATTAATATATTATCAATAAGCGAGTAAAATTTTTATTCAATATCTTACCAACAATATTCTCGATATTAGACCTCCTTCCGATCTGTCTTGGCCTAAAATACCTCTACGTCGTTTAAACGATGACACCGATGATATTATCGAACCTCCGTGTGTTGTTACTCTGATAGGCACTCCTAGAAAAGGTCGTAGTATAGTGCGAGCTGTTACATGTCAGTAAGTATACTTTTCAAATATTTTATATTATGTGTAAATTTAATATATATCGACAATAAAAAAAAAAATTTAAATAAATATTGGAAAATACTATATTGAATATTATTCGTAAATTGGTATCGCGATTAAATCGAAGAAAATATCGCTATACATTTCCCTTGTTTTTCTCCTTTTTTTATCTTAGGCATACCAGACCGAGATTGAGCCAAAAATACGAAGGACCCACGCATATACCGAAAAGATTGCCCGGTTCTATCGATCCACGTTTTAAAAGGTTTTAAATCCTAATTAATTCTCATTAAAGTCCGTGTTTCTTGTTATCGCATCGAATCCTGTTACATGATACGTAACATGATAATTTGCACGAAACGAGCTCTAATATATTATTATCTTGTGTATTTTTATCCGTGTTTGATTTCATTATTATGCCATGGTAACATAATTTGTAACGCGACACAGACAGATATTGCGACAGAAGGCCGAGAAACCAGATGAATCTTGTGACACGAAGAATGGCAAACAAACGCCAGAAATTAATATGCATGTTCTACAAGAAGTTAAGAAGCCTGAGGATAGATTACAAGGAGTGATTGAAACTGCGGATGATTACACATGTAATAATGCAGATAAATTATTAGAAAGCATCACAAAAAAAGAGACCACTGATTGTCTCACTACAAAACAATTTATTTCGGAAGGCGATCATTGTAAAACGGGTAATTGTGTATAAGAAATTCTTATCTAATACGCGCGACTGCGTATGCTAAATTATTCAATTAATCTTCTAGTGTGATTATTCCAAATCCATTTCAGCCTCGCAATACGTTACTAACGAGCGACGCGATATCGAAGATAGATTTCCTCAAAAAGAAGTAAGCCGTTTATATAGAATTGCGATTATTGTTGGCATTAAATAGTAAAAACGTAACTTTGATCATATTTACGTATTTTTTATCATATTTACATATTCAGGAAACTGGAAGGCCACTGCTTTTAATGGCCGATGAAAAAAAGATACACGCCCTGCCTATTAACGCTCTTAATATAGAAGCTGCCGCTTCTTCGAACGTGCAGCCGTTGCAACGTTATAGCGTGCAAATTCCTGTGGTTGCCTATCATAATGTACCTTTACAAATATCAAATATGCCAAAGCAAACGCAAGAGGGTATTAAAATCGAATGTCAAAGCAATAGCGTGAAAGATCGAGAATTTGTCGGAAATATTTACGATCCGGTATCAACGTTGGCCAATTCGACTTATGACTCCAAAGAATCTGAAAATGAGAAGTGTCCATTTAATGGTAACGAATTATTTGCGATAATTTATATTACTTATATTCGTAAGATGATCGTATATATAAGGCGCATTTCAAGGTTAAAAAAATATTTACATATAATGTTCTAATTTAAAATATAAAAATTTAGGATTTCAAAATAAGAAAGTTCCTCTAGAGATATACCCGCAAGATATTTTATTTAAGAGATGTTGATATTTAAACATTTTGAATATAAAATTTTATGAAATTATTATCAGATTATAATAAATAAATTAACAGTGTTTCAACTATTTTATGCACATTTAAAAAATTTTGTTCAATATAATAATCTTAAACACGAAGACAAGCTTGGCATATTTCTCTCAGGATATCAGTGTGGCAGAGCAATAGCTGTAATTTCATGCTTGAATGATTTTTCTTCATAAAGATTAAATAGTGAGGCAACATTTCTATTATAACAACTGCGTTGTATGAATACTATATTAGTTATTCACTATTAGAGTAAATGCAAGATATGATTATGTTTCATAATTCACAAAAGTATTGAACAACCGAAGATATTTCACAATATCGATTATGCAAGATAAGAAAAAATTTTCCTCTGGAGGTATGCCCGTAAACGTTTTGTTTAAGAGATATTGACATCTAAACATTTTCATTATAAAATTTTATGAAATTATTATCAGATTATAATAAATAAATTAACAGTGTTTCAACTATTTTATGCACATTTAAAAAATTTTGTTCAATATAATAATCTTAAACACGAAGACAAGCTTGGCATATTTCTCTCAGGATATCAGTGTGGCAGAGCAATAGCTGTAATTTCATGCTTGAATGATTTTTCTTCATAAAGATTAAATAGTGAGGCAACATTTCTATTATAACAACTGCGTTGTATGAATACTATATTAGTTATTCACTATTAGAGTAAATGCAAGATATGATTATGTTTCATAATTCACAAAAGTATTGAACAACCGAAGATATTTCACAATATCGATTATGCATTTAGGGTATCTGTATGATAATTACTTTTTAATATTGACAGATAAGTTCGTATTAATAGCTATATAATAAATTTATCATTTTTAATTGTAACTTTATATATTTAATATTTTTTGAACAGGACTTTTGCGGGATCTCCAGAAACTTTCTTATATTTATATCATTTCACTATTATTTTTTAGGCATTCGAGAATATAATGCAAAGAACGGTAATAATATTTCGGGGGACAAAAGTATCTCCTGTTGTGAAACATCCGATTCGATACACGATAAGGAAAACGTTAATTCAAGTGTATCACTGAATCCTGTAAATGAGAATACTGTAAACGAGACTTTGCTCGATAAAAACCATCGTGAAAAGTTTAATATGATAGATAACGCAGACAATACGAAAGATGGCGAAAGTTTCTCGAGCATGACTACGGCTAGGAAATTGAAAACTCTCGCTGAACAAAGATGCAATACAGATAACTCGTGTATCGCGGACAGGTACGGAATCGAGCGGAAAACATTGAGCGAAACAAGAATAGTAAAGAATTCGCTGCGAGAACATAAACTCGTGTATCATGAAAAAGATAGCCGAGTCGATTTAGGCGAATCCCTGATAAACGTAATAAATAATAAAATGTTGAAGAAAGATGCATTTAACGAGATTAAAGATAAAGAATGTGATAACGAGAATAAAGAAAAACACGGGGAACTGCGCGTTAACGTAAAACGTAAAACTGCGCCGATAAATCTATCGCGAAAGGCCAAGTCATTCTTTCGGAAGAAATCCCGTTTGGCGATCACAGATTCCGATTGCACCCTGATACTGCCCGGTTCTCGTCACGTTAAAGGTAAACAATATGAAAGAACTCATTTGAAGGTAAGTCAATTGTTGCATAGAAGAAACGGGATAAATAGTTCAAAATCTACAGTACGAATGAAATCCAATAACGTGATACCAAGTCGTCGGATAAACTCTTCTTCGTTGACGAGTCTACAAGCTAAGGGGGATTTATTCGAGGAACCATCGTCCATCCCTTTAGAGACGCAGGAATTGTTGAATCAGAGTTATTGGGAGTATTATTGGAGGCTCAGGCGTAAGATGGCTAATAAGCCGGATAATGCGGGAGAGAATGATAAACAACGAGAATGTTTACCGGAATCTCAAACCCTACAACAATGTTCCGTGCTCTCTTGCATGATCAATACGGCACTTCGAGATTCGGCAGCTGCTGACGGCAGATCATCTTCGGATCCAATCCTTGCGACCTTTAACACACGCGAGAACGTTTGTCACGAAGCTTCCGGATTGTCGTCTTTGTTTGCGAAGAAAGCGAAACGAAGGAAAACGAAGCGAGTGAGCAAACGGTTGCTCGGACTTAGAACTATAGGTATACATAAAGAGTATGTAAGAATCGCATGTACATATATAATGAACGACGATAGCTAATTTTTTTTTTTTTTTTTTTTTTCTATTCGAAGAGAATCAAAGTATTGAATTCTTCTAGCCTTACTCGGTATCACGATATACATCGCGGTCATATTTCTGCCTATGATATACGATTATTTCTTTGACGAGGAATACGAGAACGATTACGAGAATGCGAATTACATCGGACTGGCGTTTCAGTACGTCACATCGTCGTTCGGAGAAGCCTTCGATGGAATCGTCGATGTCTTGAACACGGTCCTTTTACGTCCAGTAAGATTTGATCGAACTTATTAAGCATCGTATAAATACACCACTCGTTCTACATTTATTCTACTAAACCGTGAGAGTCTCTCGCATTAAACGTTCTGTAGTTATGTGTCGTTTTCAGCGTCCCTGTGGAAAATGTAACAACGTTATTTGAATCCATCGCGCATCCATACATCTTCAACATGTTTCGTCACTTACGCTTATTCCTTGCTCCCTGTTTACACGCGTCTAATTTTTGCGTGTGAGTTATGCGTTTTCTACATCGAACTTATTTTTATATCTTTCTAATGATATTTCCTACACATGCCTTCTTATTGTGCGACATGAGTGTTTATATACATGTGATTATATATTTGCGATTAAATTTTTCTTCAGGATTTAAATCAAGCTTCGGCTCCTCATCTCTGCCTCGCGTAGCATCATAAATTTTCATTTAAATATTTAATTTGAATAAAATGAAAAGTGTATAACAGCGAGAACAAGCAACAAGCATATAATCTCGATATGTTGCGTGTAATCAAGTCTCGTGTCAAGAAACGAATAGCAAGGAGAATTACATTTATATTATTTTAAAATCGACAAGAAAATACTTACGAAAAGTTATAACCGCACATTCTCCAATTTGAATCTCGAAACTGGAGTAAAAAAAAATGCCTACCGTTTATCAACACTGTAGAAACTTGCCAATTAACACTTGTTAACGCGCTATCTTTATTAATTTTCAATATATCACTTTTGAATGTATTATTGACGATACAATAATATCGAAATAGGCTATTTGAAAATACACTCCGCTTTCGTGGAACTAGCAGTTGTCCACAGTTGGTAATATCAACTTGATATGTAGGTCAATTTTTCGCGCATGCGTAGTAACAGCCATGTATAATGTGAATGGCATAGATGCGAAAGTCTTGACTGACTCGGCGGATGTCGAGAACAGAATTAGATATATTGTTCTAATATTCGTATTTAAATTTTTTTTGATTCTAACGTTGCAAGAAAAAAGTTATTTTGAGAAACAAAGATAGAAAAAAGATTTTTAAAAAATTTTTTACGGGCGATTGAAGGCGCACCTTTTCACATTTGTATTGATACCGCGTTCATTCGCGCATGCGCGAAACATCCTTCCGCCGTTATCGACATTGATGCCAGCATTGCCAACAGCTGTCTAGTGAACAAAGGCATCGTGCACGTTTGGAATTCGGTCATTTCGTCTGGCGGCTTCTTCGAGATTGTTTCGAAAGCACGTGGACACGTGCTCCGAGAATCTCCTCAGAATTAACGAGTTACTAAGGGGTGTTTCGAATCTACAATTAAAAAATCGTGTCAAAATTATGGCGGATTACGTATTAGGCAATACAAAACCGGCGGACGTGCCGCTACCGGATGATGGTTTGTCAGCCGAGCAGCTATTCTCCGCGGGTGATGGTCTAACTTACAACGACTTCATCATTTTACCGGGCTACATAGATTTTACGGCGGACGAGGTCGATCTGTTGTCACCGTTAACTAGAAAAATCATGCTGAAAGCGCCGCTCGTGTCCTCCCCTATGGACACTGTTACGGAATCGGACATGGCTATCGCTATGGCCCTCTCCGGCGGAATCGGGATAATACATCACAATTGTAACGGCGAGTATCAAGCCAATGAAGTGCACAAGGTAATCAATTTTTCCTCAACGATTCGTTTTTAAGTCAAAACCTAACGCATTCAAGCTATAATTTTCATAATTGTACGTAGAATCTGATATAATATTCTTATTTTATGAGAACTTTCTTAATTTTCTTCACATATAACATTCACAAGTAATTATATTAAATTTCTTTTTAAATATATTCATTTCTGGAGTATATATATACACATACACAGACATATTTATATATATATTTGTATCATTTACAGGTAAAGAAATACAAGCATGGTTTTATTAGAGACCCAGTTGTGTTGGCGCCACATCATACAGTTAATGATGTTTTAAATGTGAAAGCTGAACATGGGTTTAGCGGAGTGCCTGTCACAGATACTGGTAAAGTTGGTGGTAAATTGCTAGGCATCGTCACTTCTAGGGATATCGATTTCCTCGAACGTTTGCCCAATTATCAACTTAAAACACTTAATTCGATAATGACGACTTTAGAAAATCTAATCACTGCACCAGCTGGTGTAACATTGCAAGAGGCAAATGTTATTTTGGAAAAATCAAAAAAGGGAAAGCTTCCCATTGTGAACGATCGAGGTGAACTCGTATCTCTGATGGCAAGAACTGACTTGAAAAAGAATCGTAGCTATCCAAGTGCTAGCAAAGACGAAAATAAACAGTTGCTGGTAGGTGCCGCGATAGGAACTCGCGAGACTGACAAACAACGATTGGAACTGCTTGTAGCGGCTGGCGTGGATGTAGTAGTATTGGATTCATCGCAAGGCAATTCTTTGTATCAAATCGACATGATTAAGTATATTAAGTCGCAATATCCAAGTCTGCAAGTGATTGCTGGCAATGTAGTGACTACAAAGCAAGCTAAGAATCTTATAGAGGCGGGAGCGGATGCGTTACGTGTTGGAATGGGTTCTGGATCTATCTGCATAACGCAAGAAGTAATGGCTGTTGGACGACCGCAGGCGACGGCCGTTTATAAGGTCTCCGAATACGCTAGAAAATTTGGAATACCGGTCATAGCAGACGGTGGTATTCAATGGATCGGGCACATTATTAAAGGTCTCAGTTTAGGCGCTAGTACAGTCATGATGGGTTCTCTGTTGGCTGGAACATCTGAAGCTCCGGGCGAATATTTCTTTAGCGACGGAGTTCGTCTTAAAAAGTACAGAGGCATGGGTTCTTTAGAGGCCATGGATAGAAAGGACGCCAAAGGTTCGGCAATGGATAGATATTTTCATAACGAGATGGACAAATTAAAGGTAGCTCAAGGTGTCAGTGGCTCTATAGTCGATAAAGGTTCAGTACTTAAATTTTCGCCTTATTTAACCTGTGGTATCAAGCATGCGTGTCAAGATATCGGTGCACAATCACTTACTGCCTTGCGATCTATGATGTATAGAGGGATATTAAGGTTTGAAAGGAGAACGCATTCTGCTCAACAAGAGGGCAATGTACACAGCTTATTCTCCTACGAGAAGAGGCTCTTTTAATTGTAAAGTAAAATAAGAAATTGTAAAACACGTGTCACACATGGAGAAAGGTACCTGCATTTAATCAAGTAGCAGTTATTTTACAAGATAAACTTGCGAGAAATCGCGTTTTTTTTTTTTTATGCAAACGAAGTATTTCTCACTTGTATTTGAAAATGAATTATTTACTTCAAAAAAATTTCCAATGAGTAGAAAAATGACATTGAGTCACTTATAAGAGTTTTATACGTACTTATTAATGAATGGCATATCTTTACATAACGCTTTTTGAATTTGAATGTACATTTTACAATTCAGTGAGTGATAAGTGAAATCAGATAGCTTAATATAACTTTTGTTATCTGACATATCAATATTTGAGTAACTTATATATAATGTTGATACTAGGTATAAATGGTTTTTTATTTGATCAAATGTATCCAGCCATTATATTGTATATAAACATTAACAGATATATCTGCAAAATAATATTAGCATGAATAAATGCCAAAACAGGGCATCACTTTCTACACGTAATTTATATGGTTTAGTTAACTGACTCGCTTGTTCATAGCTCGACTCGTTATTTTATAATTGAATATAATTTACATACTCTTTCATACTTCTTTTTTCATACTTTTTAGTAAATCTGTTTTAACTTTTCCCAAAATAGAGATTTAAAGCTAAAACGCTTATAATGATTAATAATTTATATAAGTTATTAATCTAATAATATTAAATTGAATCACACACATTTGAAACCTCTTGTCAAAAATATCGATTTTTAACCAATATATTCTTAACAGTAAAACAGTATAAACAGTATTCTTGTAGAGTAAACTGTATATTTTAAATAAAAGCCATTTGATGTTACAAACTTGATTATTTATATTTGTATTGATTCTCTTGGTTGATATTCAAGAGAATTGAAAAAAAATATGTTATATATAAGAGGATTATTTATTCCTATAAAAAATATATACCTGGAGATATATTGTAGCCTGAATTGGATAACCAATTTGAGTGAATGTGAAAGATATATTATGTCTTTTTGTAAGAGAATGTGTGAGATATTGCATAAACGCATGGATGCAATGCCTGATTAAACATAATCATATACAATAATAAATGATCAATTGATTGATTGCATTGAATTACTATTTCTGTTATTTAAATAGGAATATAAATTTCCTAATTACAATATTAACACTGCACGATTATGCAAATTATAAATACGCTAAGCGAACACACGTCCCCACTCCTCAACACTCGGTCTAGATATACTATGTCTATGCGTGCAACTGTTGACCATTTTATTTTAAGCATGCGCTTTGTACATTTGTGTCGTATATTGTATACTTTGTAAAAGAAAGTAGAAGATATCTCTCCCCTCCCCTCCCTCCATGTCTTTCTCCCATTTCTCTGGCCGCTCATGCGTGAAAGATCCGGCTGGAATATCAACAACTGCGCGCAAATCAACGAAAAGATCAAAGATCAAACAAAGCAATTCAGAGAGTACTAGAAGAATGGTGGACGTGGACAACAAAACATATGTAATCAGTTGTAAAGACCGAATGTTTTTTTTTGTTTAACGAGGGATCTGTCAAGATTTTCGGCTGCGTTAAGAATAATCCGGAATAATTTGCAATCATGTATAATCTAACTGAAGGAGCATTAGATGTAAGTTTATTAAAGCCTATTGTTAATGTGTTGCTTGAAAGATGAGGAAATTAATCGTTTCAGAAAATCATGAATGGTATAGACGTCAAGAAACCGGTGCTTCAAATATTGGTAAGTATAATGATTATACAGAAAGGAGACAGTTTGACAGATTTTCATTTTTGGCTTTTTGTAAAATATGTATGGATTAAAATTGTCCAGAAAATTCTGAAAAACTATTATCTTAAAAATATATTTTTTGCAAGAATATATAGAATAGAGTCGTGATACAGTTAAACTTCTGTTTTTGCATGGATATAAATATAAAAGTATTCTTAATTAGCTTGATTTTTGAAACATGATAAATTTTGTTAATTGTAATTCTAGACATGGCAAGATTTTTTTATTTTGTGGTTTTATAAAATGAAATCTTAAATATATTAATTGCAATTTTTTGCAGGGTTATAAAAAAATACCAAGATCCACTAATACAGATGATCGATATAGATTACTTCTATCTGATGGACATAGATTAAATTCATTTACAATGTTGATTACTCAGTTAAATAACTTGATAACAAATAATACTTTGACTGAATATTCAATCTGCAAAATATTAAATTATGCCTTAACTTCAGTTAACAATAATGGAAAGGAAAGGTATTTAGCTCTTCGTATACATATTAAACTGCACAAGCAATTTAATTCAAGAGTGCATATTCTACTTAATTTAATAGATGTATAATGCTAATAGTTGATATTGAGGTGCTAGTTCCTGGCAGTGATGTTGGCTACAAAATAGGCAACCCAATTAAAACTGATGACAAATCACAGCCTGAATGTCTAAATACATCTAATACATCTACATCTACATCTTACCAAACTAATAATAGTAATAGATTAGTAATATTTTTATTTTGTGTCGATTATATTCAGAATTCGTTTTGGATGTATATTTAATGTGTCACTTTATCATGATTGAATAAAAAATCTATTCTGTTTATAATAGATGATACAACAAAAAAAAAAATTTTAGATCATCATACCTCTTCTGATATATCAACTATACCAATCGCAGCGTTAAGTCCTTACCAAAATAGGTAAGAGAAATCAATTATGTATAAAATATTTTTAAATACAAAAGATATTAGAAAAAAAAAATATTGATTTATAGGTGGGTGATCAAGGCTCGAGTGACAAATAAATCTGACATCAGGACGTGGAGCAATTCTCGTGGAGAAGGTAAATTGTTCTTCATGAATCTAATCGATGAAAGCGGTGAAATTCGATGTACTGCGTTCAAAAATCAATGCGATAGATTCTACGACTTGATAGAAGTATGTATCATCAATGTATTAATACTTGTGTTACTAAAAATCGATAATAGTTACACATATTTTTCTCCTGTAAAAAATTAAATTATTAAAAATTTTATTTAGGCTGGTAATGTGTATTATATTTCGCGATGTAAATTGAAAACGGCAAATAAACAGTACAGCACATTGAAAAATGATTATGAGATGACAATGAGTGATGATACAGAGATTTTGCCATGTTATGAAAACAGTGATAAAATACCGATGCTGCAATTTAATTTTTGTCCAATAAGTTGGATAGAAAACAAGGAGCAAAATGATATGATTGGTAATGTGCTTATAAAAGACAATTTCTATTAAATTTCAAATATTAATACAACAAATGATCTTTTCATATTGAATTTATGCAACAAAATAAGATCAATATAACTATTGATTAAGTGAGAAAATGCAATTTGTATATATAATGATGTTATGCTTTTAACAGATGTCTTGGGCGTTGTTACAACATTTAACGATGTGCAACATGTTGTACAGCGAACTACTGGTAGAGAACTTGTCAAGAGAGACGTCAATATCATGGACGATAGTGGTGCGATGGTTCGCGCAATTTCTTGATTTGTCAAATTTTAATATTTTCTTATGGACGAATAAAATGAATTTTTTTTTACATATCAGATATGTGTCACATTATGGGAAAAACAAGCTGAAAACTTTAATGGTTCTAATAATCCAATCCTAGCTATCAAGGGAGCGCGTGTTGGCGAATTTAATGGCGGAAAAAATTTGTCTCTCATAAATTCATCCGTACTTGAAAAAGATCCGGACATATCAGAAGCACATAAGTATATATCATTAGCTATCACTTAAATGCATCTTTGAAACCATATTTATATTTAAATATATACTCGAATATATATTTAAGTATATATACTCGTATATATATATATATATATATACACAGTTACAAAATATATTTTCAAATTAAAAGAATTTTTCAAAGAATGATATATATTAATAATAAATAATAATAACAATTAAAATAATTAAGAGTAAAAAAAATTCAATGCAAAAAAGTTCGACGTGCAAACTTTTTAAAATCCAACTGAATACTTTACTAATCCGACACGCATGTGTGAAAAAGTGGCTTAAGGCACCTTTACATGGCAGCATTAAGCGTCTGCGCAGAAAAATGCGCAGAATTTAAAAGAGATAGATTCTAGGCTGAAATTAGATTCTGCGCAATTTTCTACGCAGACGCTCGACGCTTAAAGGTACCTTTACATGGCAGCATTAAGCGTCGAGCGTCTGCGCAGAAAAATGCGCAGAATTTAAAAGAGATAGATTCTAGGCTGAAATTAGATTCTGCGCAATTTTCTACGCAGACGCTCGACGCTT